CCGGGGACGAGACCCGGGACGAGACCCGGGACGAGACCCGGGACGAGACCGGGGACGAGACCCGGGGACGAGACCCGAGGACGAGACCCGGGACGAGACGGGACCCGGGGACGAGACCCGGGACGAGACCCGGGACGGACCGACGGACCCGGGACGACCCGGGACGAGACCCGGGACGAGACCCGGGACGAGACCCGGGACGGACCCGGGGACGGGACCCGGGGACGGGACCCGGGGACGAGACCCGGGACGAGACCCGGGACGAGACCCGGGGACGAGACCCCGGGACGAGGACCGGGACGACGGGACGCCGGGACGACCCGAGACCCGGGGACGAGACCCGAGGACGAGACCCGGGACGAGACCGGACCCTACGGGGACGAACCCGGGGACGAGACCGGACGGACCGGGACGAACCCGGGACACGAACCCCGGGACGAGACTACAGGACTAACCTACGAGACCCGAGGACGAGACCGGGGACTACAGGACGGGACCCGGGGACGGGCCCCAACTACACTACTACAACTACACTACAAACTACAACTACACAACTACACACAACTACACAACTACACAACTACAACTACACTACAACTACAACTACACTACAACTACACACACTACACACTACACAACTACACAACTACACAACTACAACTACAACAACTACACACAACTACAACTACACAACTACAACTACACAACTACAACTACAACTACAACTACACTACACAACTACACAACTACAACTACAACTACACAACTACACAACTACAACTACACAACTACAACTACACAACTACAACTACACAACTACAACTACACAACTACAACTACACAACTACAACTACACAACTACACAACTACAACTACAACTACACACTACACTACACTACACAAACTACAACTACAACTACAACTACAACTACAACTACAACTACAACTACAACTACACAACTACACAACTACACTACAACTACACTACACACTACAACTACACAACTACACAACTACAACTACAACTACACAACTACAACTACACAACTACAACTACTACAACTACACAACTACAACTACACACACAACTACAACTACACAACTACAACTACACAACTACAACTACAACTACACAACTACAACTACAACTACACAACTACAACTACACACTACAACTACACACTACAACTACACAACTACAACTACAACTACACTACACAACTACAACTACACAACTACAACTACACAACTACAACTACAACTACACAACTACAACTACACAACTACAACTACAACTACAACTACAACTACAACTACACAACTACACACACAACTACAACTACACTACACACTACAACTACACTACAACTACACAACTACAACTACACAACTACAACTACACTACACAACTACAACTACACAACTACAACTACAACTACAACTACACAACTACAACTACAACTACAACTACACAACTCTACGACTCTACTGTCACTATAACACTCCAAACTCACGGTGCTAAACTGCTGCAGCCACAGCTGCCCCGGGGCAGACTGACACACTAGAGGTGAAGTGCCTTGCCTAAGGACACAACAACAGTTTTTGCAATAGGCGTCTCATTGTGATTTTCCCCGTGTCTCCAGTCCAAGGTCAAGTCCAGTCCAAGTCCGACCCAGACCCAGACCATAACCCTGACCCAGACCCAGACCATGACTCACCATGACCCAGACCCAGACCATGACCCAGACCCAGACCATGACCCAGACCCAGACCCAGACCCAGACCCAGACCAGACCCAGACCATGACCCAGACCCAGACCATGACCCAGACCCAGACCCAGACCCAGACCCAGACCATTTTAAGGACACACTTTATTTGTCGAGTCAAACAAACGACCACAGCGCGAGGGACCCGCACGTTTGACCACAGGGGGAGGGACCCGTGCGTTTGTAGTTTACAGATTGATTAAAAGTCGTGAGTGTGGCGATAGTGAACATGGCCCTTTGCACACGCTCTTATGTGAGTGTGGTCATGTGACCTGTTCACACGTTTAAATCAAGTTTGTGATCACGTTTACAGGAAATACTAATTTTGCATCATCCTGATTTTATTGGTGTAATTATTATTAGTGCCGTGACTTCTGCCCTCACTGCAGGTCCTCACACTGCAGGTCCTCACACTGCAGAACCTCACACTGCAGGTCCTCACACTGCAGGTCCTCACACTGCAGTCCTCACAGTGTAGGGCCTCACACTGCAGGACCTCACAGTGTAGGGCCTCACACTGCAGGACCTCACAGTGTAGGGCCTCACACTGCAGGACCTCACAGTGTAGGGTCTCACACTGCAGGTCCTCACACTGCAGGTCCTCACAGTGTAGGGCCTCACACTGCAGGACCTCACAGTGTAGGGTCTCACACAGCAGGACCTCACACTGCAGGTCCTCACACTGCAGGTCCTCACAGTGACGCAGGTTCAAAATAAATGAGAAAATGTTCATTATTAAATATGTTCTGTTTGTTAAACCCTCGGCCCCAGAGCGCCCCCTGGGGGACACACGTCCGATGAGCTGCTGTTCCTTTTTAAATGTGACTTTCAGACGCGTTTGGATCCACCTGTTCAGATCTGTGTCACATTTGTACATTTGTGTGTTTAGTGTGAAAATACAAAGAAATAAAACACTTTACTCTAAAACTAGATGTGATTTATGGAACCCACTTAAACGTGCGCAGACACAGGCAGAACATGCAGACTTCACACAGAAAGCGCCGCTACACTGACTCGTCCAGAGACACATTATTGACCTGAGACACACTGAGGGCGTCACACTGGAGTCCACAGGGCTCTGTTCACTCACCTCGACTTTTCACTTCAGACCAGCGCACGAGCAGATCAACACAAATGTACTTGTATAAACTTTGTGATGACGCGGCGCTTCTTAGTTTACTCAACAAACACAAACGTCATCGTCTGAGACAGAAGGACCACAGCCCCGTTTGTGTCGCGGAGGGACTCAGCTCTGAACTTTGACTCTTGTACAGTTTGTGTCTGTGTTTCTCTGGACGGTTTCGGTCACATGACGTTTCACCGCCTGTTTGGAGTCACTTTTACGTTTTGCTCGTCGTGGTTTGGGAACCTGCCGCTCAAACTTAAATCACAGATTTTTACCTTGACTAAAAGAACGGGTCAAATGCGGAGTGTGGCCCCTGGTTCAGCACATTTTTGAAGAAACGGTTTGGAAGCTCAGCGAGAAGGAGCCCAGGGACCGAGCCCATGTCCTTCAGTCGAACTGTGAACTGAACAGATTCAAACTTTCTTTTGTCCCATTCGTCGTTAATCTGCTAAACTCAGAGAGCGAAGTTAAAAAAATAAAAGTAAAAGGGTCTGTGGAGTGTGCACGTCTGAACAGAAGACGAGAGTGTGAAGGGTTTGCTTCAAGGTTCTGCCGGTGCATCGCTCGTGCTCCTCACACTTTTGTCTTTCTGTTGTGTGGCAGATGTTTGTGCGCCGCTTTTGTTGTGTCGTTGTGTTTTTGTGTTAAAGCTGCGACTCTCAGACCCAAGACAAGACGATAAAACACGAGTTGATCTTTTCTACTTCAACTTTTGTTACAGACACATGTTCAGCACCTCACCTGCCGCTGTGGGTCTGTGCTGGTCTCCTGGTCCTGGTCCTGGTCCCTGGTTCTGGTCCTGGTTCTGGTCCTGGTCTGGTCTGGTCTCTGGTCCTGGTCCTGGTTCTGGTCGGGTCAGAGCTGCAGCAGACGAGCGCAGAGCGAGAGGGACGGTGCTCAGAGCCGGTGGAAGCGCAGAGCTGCTCTCAATGAGGAAAGGGTGACTCTTATTAACTAATCCACTTTGCCGCCGTCCCTCCCTCCGCAGACGCCCTCCCTGCCGCCCCTGCCGCCCCTGCCGCCCCTGTCGCTCCATTCCGAACGCACAAAATGACATCACATTGAGTTGGAACACGAGTCTGGGCTCATCGATGCGGCGTCACCTGAGGAGGACCACGTGCCCTTTTGTTCTTGTCGTTATTGAAGACCACACGAAGACCACAACACGGACTTTGTCCTCTTCTTCCTCTTCTTCTTCTTCTCTTCTTCTTTCCTCTTCTTCTTCCTCTTCCTTCTTCTTCTTCTTCTTCTTCTTCTTTTTGTCATCGTGGTTCCTCTTCACACACAGACCTGGACTCATGTTTAGTTTCATTCACATGTTTAACACACAAACTCTTTTTTAAAATTTATTTATTCAGGTTTTAAAGTTTTTGAGTCAAAGACAAAAAAAAACACTTCAAAAAAACAAAAACAAAATCTAGTCAAGTTCAGACGACCGGAAATAAGAAAGTTTCATCATGATTTGAGTAAATTTCACTTAACGAGTAAAAAGATCTGCCAGGACTAAACCAGGACTAAACCAGGTCTAAACCAGGTCTAAACCACTAAACCAGGTCTAAACCAGGACTAAACCAGGACTAAACCAGGTCTAAACCAGGACTAAACCAGGACTAAACCAGGACTAAACCAGGACTAAACCAGGTCTAAACCAGGACTAAACCAGGACTAAACCAGGACTAAACCAGGACTAAACCAGGACTAAACCAGGAAACCAGGTAAACCAGGAAACCAGTAAACCAGGTCTAAACCAGGTAAACCAGGTCTAAACCAGGACTAAACCAGGTCTAAACCAGGTCTAAACCAGGACTAAACCAGGTCTAAACCAGGACTAAACCAGGTAAACCAGGACTAAACCAGGTAAACCAGGACTAAACCAGGACTAAACCAGGTCTAAACCAGGACTAAACCAGGTCTAAACCAGGACTAAACCAGGACTAAACCAGGTCTAAACCAGGTCTAAACCAGGTCTACTAAACCAGGTCTAAACCAGGACTAAACCAGGTAAACCAGGTAAACCAGGTCTACTAAACCAGGTCTAAACCAGGACTCTAAAAGGAGAGGTCTAAACCAGATCTGGACCCAAAGGTGCTCCCACGTAGACTGGTTTAGACCTGGTTTAGTCCTGGTTTAGACCTGGTTTAGTCCTGGTTTAGTCCTGGTTTAATCCTGGTTTAGTCCTGGTTTAGACCTGATTTAGACCTGGTTTAGTCCTGGTTTAGTCCTGGTTTAGACCTGGTTTAGACCTGGTTTAGTCCTGGTTTAGTCCTGGTTTAGACCTGTTTTAGACTGGTTTAGACCTGATTTAGTCCTGGTTTAGTCCTGGTTTAGTCCTGGTTTAGTCCTGGTTTAGACCTGATTTAGACCTGGTTTAGTCCTGGTTTAGTCCTGGTTTAGACCTGGTTTAGACCTGGTTTAGTCCTGGTTTAGACCTGGTTTAGTCCTGGTTTAGACCTGGTTTAGTCCTGGTTTAACCTGGTTTAGTCCTGGTTTAATCCTGGTTTAGTCCTGGTTTAGTCCTGGTTTAGTCCTGGTTTAGACCTGGTTTAGACCTGGTTTAGTCCTGGTTTAGACCTGGTTTAGTCCTGGTTTAGTCCTGGTTTAGTCCTGGTTTAGTCCGTATGTGGTGCAAATGTTTTTTTCGTGGTTTTTTACATTTTTCATTTAAACACAAAATTTAAAAAACGTTTGGAGACAAATAATGAAGAAAATTGTAGTTTTTTTGTTTTCTTATTGTTGGTTTTATTTTGAAAAACAAATAAATGAACGACACACATTAGTTTGGGCCTTTTGAAAGTTGTTGTTTTTGAAAGTTGTGGTTGTTCGGTCTGAGCGTCGCAGGAGTCGGTCTTTCTGACGTCGGGACGTTCCAGAGAAATTCCGTTGGATTGTGTTTTTCCCCGAGGAGCTGAAGTGACGAGCTGAACATGTGACCAGAACAGTTCACAGGGTCAGAGGTCAGAACCATCGAGACACAAAAGCCCAGTCTGTCTCCTGTAACAGTCCAACAGGAGCAGAGTCCAGATCCTCCAGACCCTCCAGACCCTCCAGACCCTCCAGACCCTCCAGACCCTCCAGACCCCAGACCCTCCAGACCTCCAGACCCTCCAGACCCTCCAGACCCTCCAGACCTCCAGACCCTCCAGACCCTCCAGATCCTCCAGACCCTCCAGACCCTCCAGACCCTCCAGATCCTCCAGATCCTCCAGACCCTCCAGACCCTCCAGACCTCCAGATCCTCCAGATCCTCCAGATCCTCCAGATCCTCCAGACCCTCCAGACCCTCCAGACCCTCCAGACCCTCCAGACCTCCAGACCTCCAGATCCCCAGACCCTCCAGACCCTCCAGACCCTCCAGATCCTCCAGACCCTCCAGATCCTCCAGACCCTCCAGACCCTCCAGACCCTCCAGACCCTCCAGACCCTCCAGACCCTCCAGATCCTCCAGACCCTCCAGACCCTCCAGACCCTCCAGACCCTCCAGATCCTCCAGACCCTCCAGACCCTCCAGATCCTCCAGATCCTCCAGACCCTCCAGACCCTCCAGACCCTCCAGACCCTCCAGATCCTCCAGCAGGAGTTTTGTGTGTAACATACAGACTGTGGTTCTCGTGTGCGTCTGGCGCCTCCTGGTGGTGACTCTGACCCCGGGCCCCTCTACAGCTCCACTCCAATCCTCTGAGGATTTTTACTTTCTAATACGACGACAAACAGAAGAAGAAGAAGAAGAAGAAGAAGAAGAAGAAAAAGACACATTTTGATTTGAATTGAAATCTTCCTCTTTTCATGTTTCTGTTTTGGAAAAAACACAAAAGTGTTTTTAGATGAAAACACGATGAAAAAGTTGAAATACATTTGTTCTTCCATTTGTGTGGAAACGACAGAGCAGAGCACGATTAAAGCCACGTGTGTGTGTGTGTGTGTGTGTGTGTGTGTGTGTGTGTGTGTGTGTGTGTGAGGACAGGGCACCCTGTGACATCACTGTGTGCTTCAATAAATCAATAGAGACGTGACGTCACACACTCTCCTCCTGTCCCTGCGCTTTAACACACAACACACCACACTGTGTAACATCAACTCTGTGTGCAGGGTTTCTGTGTGCAGGGGTCCTGTGTGCAGGGGTCCAGGCAGAAAACAACAGCTCAGCAGGTAAGAAGCAACACACTCACACAGACCAGGAGTCAAACCCACAACCTGCTCACTGAGAGGAGAGGGTTTGCTCAGGTAAAGGGCGGAGCTTTCACTGTTCAGGTAAAGGGGCGGGGCTTCACTGCTCAGGTAAAGGGACGGAGCTTCACTGTTCAGGTAAAGGGGCGGGGCTTCACTGTTCAGTAAAGGGCGGGGCTTCACTGTTCAGGTAAAGGGGCGGGGCTTCACTCTGTCTCTTGTCTGTTCAGAGCTCAGGTTGGTGGGAGGAGCCAGTCGCTGTTCTGGGACTGTGGAGGTGAAACACAGGGACCTGGAGCACACAGCTGGTGTGTGCAGAGACCTGGACTGTGGCTCTGCTGTTTATGGAAAACAGAGACATGATTTTCCACCTCGTCGTGTGTGGTGGGTCTCACCTGACTGTGTGAAGAAGTCTTCAGTGAGAACATGTGTCTCTGGTTCAT